CCGCCGCCGCCGGAGCGCCTATAGGTGCGGCGACTGGGCCGTACCGGTCAGGCCGACGCAGCAGCGAGAGCAGCGAACGCTGCCGCCTTGTCCGGCCCGGTCCACGTACTGCTCCGCCGGTCCTCTCCGTGCGGGAGGGAGGTTGTCCTTCCCGGTTGGCCTTGCCACGTTTTTCACGGCGGGGGTGGCCGTTGTGTTGCCTGACTTTGTGGAAGGGTGCCGTCAACTTTATGTAATAATGTCGCTAGACTTTCTCCTCACAAGCTGGGCGAATGTGTGGGAGCAGCAACCGCTGGACGCTTTCCTTTGGGAAAGGCCTTTTCTTGAACTCGGAGGCAAGCGCAAGCAACCCTGAGAGCTGGGTCACGGCACCACGCCTTCCCTCTGCCTTTCGGCTGCCGTAGGCATGTGCGCGCACTGGCCTTCCTCCCATCCCCCAAATTTTTACAGAAATACCTTTTGGCTGCTGCTAGGACGGTAGAGGTGAAGCTGGTTGGGCTTTTCCCCTCTCTACAAATGGGAAAATGTATGGCACGAGTCATGTCTGTGCAGAGAGCAAGACCTCGTGTACCAGTAGCCAGTAACATTATGTAACGCTATTGTGTCAGGTCTCAGCTGCCCAAACATTTGGAAACCCAATCCAGGTAGGGATTTTCCTCTGTAAGGCTCCTCTGCATACAAGCGAAGCAGATCTCCCCCTGCCCTCAAGCTAACCCATCAGGGTACTGGACAGGACAGCCACCTGGCTAAAAATCCTTTTAGTGTCCTTAGAGAATCCTCAGAGTGTTCTTTGAAATGATACATGGCTGTGCATTAGGGACACTGTAGTTGTAACTCATTGCCTCTGCTGTGCACCTTAGCTTCATCTCAGCAGAATGAGATTGCATGGGTGATTTCTAAGTATTTCTAGAATCCACATCAGAGGATGGCTTAAAAATTGTAAATGAGCAGAAATGACCACAGTGTAGATGTTCAAATTACAGAGCATTGTGGATTCTGTTACTGCTTAATATCCTGTGAGCCTGAAGTGTCCTTTCTATAGATCAGACTTTCTACAGGCAGCAGCAGACAGAAATGCCTTTCACGTGCTGCTGTTGTTGTTAGTTGTCCTCATTTGGAAGAACCAAAGCAGTGCCCCCGGAAGATTAATGCCTGATCTATTTAATCCTTGTTTGCTTCCACCAACATTGCAGAGGGAGAGAAGCAGGTAATGGTTTTATTTGTGTTGTAGTCATGGAATATATGAGCAGGTAAAGTTTTTAAAAATTATGTTTTCTTGGAGGTGTGTACTACTGCAGATGTCAGAAATTAGCACCACTGGCTGTTAAGCAAAAACGTATTAGCAAGTTACTTATGTTTACTGGAGTTCAATTGGTTCCCATTGGGAACCTAGGCTTTGTTTTAAATACAATTGTATTCAGAGTTCTGTGTTCCAAAGCAAATGTTTGTGTTTTGTCTAGCTCCCAGAGATTTCTCATGTTGAAAATCCCTTATTATTTAACTGCATAGCATGTGTGAGCCATATAGGACCAACACTTGTTGAATATTTGAGACACCTTGGAAAATTGATATTCCTATTTAATAAATGGAAGGTGGGCTGGGGGAATGGTTTCTTGAGGTTACCCAGACCTGGTTCTGGGTCTTCTGTACTGTGATGCTGGGCCCTTCTTCCTGTGAACCCCAAGTCCGTTCTCTCCAAGGGAGTTTGTTCTATCTCAAAAGCTTGCAATTTACATTATGGGCAGCACACTGAGCAGAGAGGAAGTGCCTGCTTTGCAGGGCAATTGTAGCTTAGCTTCCCTTAGCTGTGTGTGGTCTTAAGGGAGCTGATGCAGATATCCATGTCTTGCAGGTCACACTGCAGAATGGGTGTGTAGGAATGAGGGAGAGGTGGAGGTTGGCAGGCTTACTTACAAAGGGTTGTGAGTTTGCCAGTAGTGCAGTGTGCTGTTGCAGAGATAAAAGTTTTAAAGTTGGTGTCTCTTGCAGAGTTAGACCTAATGAAGTGAAGTTACAATGTACATGGTGTGACCTGTGGCTGTGAAAGCAAAGATGATGCTTTAGCTGTTTTATAGCATAGTGGGGCATCAGTAAGACACACCATTAAAAACAAAAAGCACCTAAATTCTTTTTTACAGTTTTGGGGTGGGAGGGAATGGATTAATGTCTTGGCATGCTCTCATGTTTGCATCTTCACGGTGGAAGATAAATTGCAGTTCTGTTTGCAACTATTCTAAGTACGAATAATTCTTGCCTTGGGAGATCTTGGTGCTCAGTCTCGTGCTACTGATGAGCTAGGAGTGTACATTTCTTTGCTGTGACATTGTCTATTTGTAGCCAGAACTGTAAAACTTGCACTGTTCTTGTAGTAATTCATTACTTTCCTTGGACTAATGTGTCGACATCTTTCTACTTCATATGCAAAATCCTTCCTGCCCTAGAATCTATGAGAGAATATACTGTAGGGAATTACATGGTTTAAGCTTTTCTCCACGTCGTAATGTGGAGTGCTGCCAGCTCTGAGAGAGAACATGGGAAGGGGGTTGCAGGAAGAAGAAAATCCTGGAAACCTCTTGCATCTGGACAAGTAGAACATGCATGCGAATGGCTGGGAGCTGGCTGGTGTTGCAATATCATAAGAGTTGGTAGACCAGAGATGAATATGGGTTGTTTTTTCCTGTTTCTTATCCTAACTTTCAGTTTGATTTGGTGATGCAGGTTTGCTGGAGTTCTGTGCAAATTCTTATTTGTCTTTTAGCTATAACCAGCCTGACTGACACTAACTGCTGTTGTTTCTTCTCTGCAGTTTTCTGCTCCAATCCCTGGAAGATCTGGACAACAGTTTAAGGAAACTCAACTCTCGCCTGTTTGTTGTGCGAGGGCAGCCAACAGATGTCTTCCCAAGACTCTTTAAAGTAAGAGAATAATTTTCTGCAGCATAATGAAGAAAAACTGATGTCCTGGTGCTATCCTTGTTTTCACTCATTAGTGATTTCATAGCTGTTGGAGATGTCCTCGGCTTCTCTTTAACTATAACTAATTCTTCATTATAACAAACTCTTCTCTTCAACTAACTAACTACTATCCATAAGGGCCAGCTTGGGAGCCAGATACACTCTTGAACTCAGACTTGCAAAGAAATTTAGTAGTAGGGTGTAACCTAGTACCAGGGTGCTTAAGCATCTCTTTTTGGATGGTGGTCTTTGCCTTTGTTTCTGTAAGTCAGGTCTTTCAGGTTTGCACTGTAACACGCTCTGTTGAGTTTCTGTGGCAAGGTTTTGGTAGTGGGGGTGCTGCAGGGGAGGCTTCTGTGAGAAGCTGCTAGAAGCTTCCCCGATGTCCAATAGAGCCCATGCCAGCTGGCTCCAGACAGATCTGCCGCTGGCCAAGGCCGAGCCCATCAGTGATGGTGGTAGTGCCTCTGGGGTAACATATTTAAGGAAGTGGGGGGCAGAACTGCTTGGCAACTGCAGCTGGAGAGAGGAGTGAGAATATGAGAGGAACAGCGCTGCAGACACCAAGGTCAGTGAAGAAAGAGGGGGAGGAGGTGCTCCAGGCACCAGAGCAGAGATTTCCTGCAGCCTGTGGTGAAGACCATGGTGAGGCAGGATGCCCAAAGGAGGCTATAACCCTGTGGGAAGCCCATGCTGGAGCAGGTTTGCTGGCAGGACTTGTGACCCTATAGGGTGACCCATGCTGGAGCAGTCTGTTCCTGAAGGACTGCACCCCCTGGAAGGGACCAGGCTGGAGCAGTTCATGAAGAACTGCAGCCTGTGGGACAGACTCGCGTTGGAGAAGTTTGTGGAGGATTGTCTCCCATGGGAGGGACCCCACGCTGGAGCAGGGGAAGAGTGTGAGGAGTCCTCCCCCGAGGAGGAAGGAGCAGCAGAGACAATGTGTGATGAACTGACCACAACCCCCATTCCCCATCTCCCTGTGCCGCTGCAGGGAAGGAGGTAGAGAAATCGGGAGTAAAGTTAAGCCTGGGAAGAAGGGAGGGATCTGGGGAAGGTGTTTTTAAGATTTGGCTTTATTTCTCATTAGCCTACTCTGATTTGATTGGTAATAACTAATTTCCCCAAGGTGAGTCTGTGTTGCCCATGATTGTAATTAGTGAGTGATCTCTCCCTGTCCTTATCTCAACCCGTGAGCCTTTCATTATATTTTCTTTCCCTTGCTCACTTGAGGGGGGGAGTGATAGAGTGGCTTCAGTCAGCACCTGGCGTCCAGCTGGGAACAACCCACCACACACGCTGACACCTCTGTGTTGAGAGCTTCTTCCCTACTAGCCATTTTCTTCCTGCAGCTTTTACTCGAGAAGATTGCTATGTCCATACATCTTTAGAGACAACTGAAAAAAAAAATACTGATCTGTATGTGAATTGCAAACAAGGCTTTGTGTTAAAATTTCAAAATTCAGAAGCTTACATTGTAGCTGACCTTCCTTTTCTTCTTTTGTTCAAGGCTGCAGTTGAGTCAGCTCAGCAGCAGAATACAGCTTAAGTTCAAGCTTCCTGATGATGTACCATTTAGGACAGTGGAATATGCAGTGACCTCGGTGGTTCATGATTGATTAGTGGGATACATTTCTAAAGTGATACGTCAGTGCTGCAGATTGTGAGAGAGACAGGGCTGGCAAAAGCATCTTCTTGAACATCAAGGTTCCTCAGGCAGTATCGTTCTTTTCTGTCCTGCTGTAAGATCATATTTCCTGTTGTCTTTGAAGCTTTTTGACAGTGTCTTTGCTAGAGTGACAAAGTTAAATGAGAAAAACATGGTTCACAGTAGTCTTATGAGTTGGGTTTGTGATGTGGACTCTACCTTACATATGGTTGACAGAACTAGTGTCCCCAAAGCCTGCTATGGACCAACTGCTGAGAAGGAGAGGTAAGCTTGAATCCATACCCTCCTGCTGTAAATGGTTCTGATGTGTATTTTCTGGAGGAGGGTGGTACTGGGGAGGGGAATCAAACTGTGCAGGTCAGAAGGGGCACTGATTTTGATGCAAAACTATGTGCTGCTTTTAGCCTTTTCAGAGTCTGAGTTGTTTTTATCTTTTGATCTGCAAATAAGTTCTGGCTAGTAATAGTCCATGCCCTCCTTATTTTAGTTCAAGATATTCACAGGATAATTAAAACTTGTTGGAGAAAAATGCCCGCTTTGGTCAAAGAACAAAAAGTATTTGGCAGAGTCTAAGGTTTGAGAGATGGTTGTAGAATTAGACAGATGTGATTTTTGCTACAGTCTGTTTTGCCTGGGCAGGTGAGTTGATGAGTGTCTTGGATGTGCTGTAACAGAGCTGAAAAGAAGGGGGATGGGGTGTTATGCTATTATAGGATAAATATATGGCTTTCACGGGAATTCAAGCCTCTCCAGGGCTGCTGCAGTGAACAGTGAATTAGCAGCAGCTCATGCCTTGCTGTCAGCTGTTGTGGAGAGGAGAGTTATGTCACATGTGGTAATGCAACACAGACCTAATATAATTTCTGCTCTTGCTGCCAGTAGCTGAGCTATGTTGTCGATAACAGTCACTGCAAAGGCACTATTATGCAGGAATATTGTGAGGAGAAGTCTAAGTGTCTAAGTATCTAAGGCTAGATACTAAGAGACGAATCAGTTATGATGTTTCTTTTGAATATCTGCAGCAATTTATTGTCATACAGCTTACTGTTTTCTGGTTGGCTGTGCTCTGCTTCCTGTGTGCTGCACTTCTCAAAACTGCAAGAAATACCTGAATTGGAAGTTTTGTATTCTTACTTAAAATCTCTGTTAGCCTTAAATGGTGGGTTTTTTTCCATTTCTTTCTTTCAAGACAGTGATGTATGTTTCAAGACCAAAGCCATCTTTTCCAAGCCTTGCAGCTGATACTGTCTGTCTTATAAAAAAAAGAAAAGTTTAAAAGGAAGCTGCTAAATCATATAGGAGCAGAGCAGGGCCTGGAACATGTCTGTCTGACCCCTGCTCTGAGTTATGGGTGCTGTCATGTTCTTATTTTGAAAAAGGAGTGGAGGACCTCTCTAAGATGTACATTCAGTGGCACATAACTGTTTCAGGTGTCTGTCCTTCCTAATATTAATTTTAGGATTGAATGTGAAAGTTTAGAAAAGAAGGGGGCCTGTACAGATGTTTTCTGCTTCTATTTTCCCTTACCCATCTTTGGCATTATTATTTAATGGTCTTTCGTGAACTAGTGACATATGTTCTTTGTGCTTTGTCTCTGTTTCCAAGGTGGAAAAGACTGTCCTGTTTATACAGAGGTGACTTAGACTGTCTCACTTGGAGAATGTAGTTCACATCTTAGTTGTGGGAGGTGGTTTTTAAGTGTCTCTGGCTGTGTTTGACTAAAGTGTTTGCTAAACAAATCTGTGGGCTGCTGCTCTGCTTGATGGATGTCTCAGGAGGGTCGCTGTGGAAACCATTAAACCTCTTCTCATAGGATTCAGTTTCTGAGGAAAACTAGGCCATAGTCTTTGAGAGCAAACTGCACTCTGGAAAAGCCTGGAAGAGGCCACATGCTATTTCATAAGGCCTATTCCATGTCATTTGTGAAGGATCTATTAAAGGTGTGAAGATACAGAATAGGTCCATGGCTTGACTGGGGTAAAATAACTCTCCAAAGGCAGGGCTTCAATTTAAATCTGAGACTGCAGTACCATACTGTATTGTGCTGACCAGGAAGGTTCACTCAGTTGCCATCCTTTGTTCTGTATTTCCCACTAGCCTGTTTTATTGCTGTTTGGGTTGAACCTTGATCCTCTATTATGTGATGGCTTTAACGAGACGTTGAAAAAAAATTAGAGTGTATATGTTTTATTTAATGATAGTCTCCACATAAAAATATGGGGTTTTGAGTAGAACTTGTATTGAAATAGTTCTCTGAAATGCTTTCTCTGCATATGCTGGAACAGGATGGACAGTAGTTAACAGTAACAGTTAATAACAGTAGTAACAACAGTTACTTGTGGACAGCATGTGCAACAAAACAAGGTGGTGTTAGGCTCGGGGACTGAGCTGTAACCTAAAAACATTAATAGAGAAGAACTCAAATCTCCTCTTACGTGTTTTAAACCTAAAATTTAGGAATTTGCATAGTAGATGTGGTGTTTGCTAGAGCTGATAAAATTGTTGATGTTTTGGTTGTCTTGACTTCAGACTCCTGTTCCTCACAGGAGCCCTTTCTAATTTTTCAGGACTTAACACTGGCGAGGAATTCTGACATTCTCGTTCATAATTGTGCTGGTTAGAAAGAGTCTTCTGTTTGACAGCTGTGTGTATTGTGTTTCTTGCAGGAATGGGGAGTCACTCGTCTCACCTTCGAATATGACTCGGAGCCGTTTGGTAAAGAGAGGGATGCAGCTATCGTCAAACTGGCCAAGGAGGCTGGCGTGGAGGTGGTGATAGAGAACTCCCACACCCTCTATGACCTGGACAGGTACGGAGGGAGCAAGGGCAGAGGTACTGCCTGGGCTAGGCTGGGATTGTCGCGTCTGGGAAGGCTTCAGCCTCCTCCATTACGTTGATCACTATACGTCAGTCGCCGTCATCCTGTGTGAGCCTAGAAGGTGTCAACAGGATTACTCTGCACATTTGTACTTTTGATTAGAGCACGTCAAAGTGCTGACAGTGACGTGAATGTACAGAAAGGTGTTGCCTCAAGCCTATTAAACTGTATACTTGACAATTATTTAAGTTGCTCAGCTGTGTGCTATTGATTGCTCTCCTTGAACATGTCCTCACTGCGTGGACTGCCTTTTTTGCTTCATTGTAATAAGGATAATTGAGCTGTTGTCTCAAACCGGTTATGAAGGCAGGGCTTTTAACTGATGGATGTGCCAGGACAGCTGGAAGAAGTAGAACAAGGTAGATGGGGGGCTAACTCGCCTTATTCTGAAGCCTGAATGCCTTGTCTTTGTTGTGTATTTGCTATGGAGGAGCCTTGCCTTTATGTTGAGTTTTATATATTTACTTATATATATAGTCTCCATATACATACGATATCCTTAAACAGTGAAGACAGTCTTTCAGCTAAGACTCTTAAGGTATGCTTGACTTCATCCATGTTTCAGTACTATTCTTAACAGTTTGCTTGCCTTTTTTTTAATTACTTGTGCCAGTAATGCTGAATGTAGACTTGCTCCTATAAATCTTTAGCATCCATAATTTCCTATGGGAAGGAGCTTTGCAGTTTAGCACGTGCTGTGTGGAAATGTTTGTCTTTGGAGTGAGGGGGATTCTTTCTGAACCTGTCTTGTGAGCACACACTGCTTTCTGATTTTTGCATTAGAAGAGGCTATGAATGCTTATTACATCCTCACCCCTTCAATGTCAGTGCCCCTCACATCCTTCTTCATGTCATCTTTGTCTTTTTCAAGGTAGAGAGTCCTGGTTTAGTCAAGTCTTCAGGTGGAATCTGTTCCATATCTCTTCTAAGTTTTGTCACCTTTCTTTATACTTCTAGGTGTTTTTCTAGACATGGAGAGCAGTGGTGAAGACGGTAGCTAGTATTCAAAATGTAGGAACAACATGGATTTGTATAGTGCTATAATGATTCCTGTCTTCGCCTAATAGCTGCTAGCATTCTTTTTGCTTCTTCTGAGTGCTGCTAAACACTAAACTGTTGTCTCGGGGCTTCCTTGCAAAATGATCATTGGTATTTGAGAGGCTGCTACAATGTAAGTAAGTTTAAGATTACATAGGCATGCATATGGAGAAACAGTGTGACCAACACTGCATTTCATCTGATATTTTTGTCAGCTGGTCATGTGGTGTATAGGGAAATTTTTAAGCTGCCTTTCATTTTTAGCTATCCCAGATAGCTTCTTATATCAGTAAACTTTATCATCATGCTCTCTTTTGTCTCTTCCTAGATAATTTATGAATAGTTGAGCAGCACAATCCCCAGCTCAGCTCTGTGTAGGATTTCTCCTCCTGTTGGAAAAATAGATTCCTACTCTATCCTGTATCTCAAAGAATTTTCTGTCTGCAGGGACCCTTTCCTTTATCCCAATTTATCTTGGTTTGTTTCAAAATTTCCAGTGAGGGATCTAGTCAGATGGCTTCTGAACACCCAGGTAGATTGTATCAGCTGAATCTCCCTCATCCCAGGCTTGAATGTCAGTAATAGATTTTGAGGAACAACTTCCATTTACAAAGGCAAATTAACCCTCCAGCATATTGCATATACGCATGCATTCAGTGATTCCATTAGTATTTTCTAACCATCTGCCTAATGCACATATCAGACTGGCTATTCTGTCATTCCTCTAATGACCTTGAAAGGCTTTTTAATATGGAATCATATTTGCTTTTTTCCCCTCATAGTATTCAGACAGTTTTAAAGCAGGTGTTACATGCAGCAGCTATTAGTTTGGGTGTTTCTTGATGCCCTTTACAACTCCTGGATGAATGCTTGCTGGTCCTGGCAAGCTGTTGCTGTTTAAGCACGCTTTATTTTGTGGCATTTTTTCCTGACCTCCCAGTCTGTGACACCTGATACATTTCCTTGAAGAAATTCAGAGTGGCAACTTCCCCGAATACCTCCATAGTGAATACACATGCAAAAATAAAAGCAGGTTTTTTTTCTGTGGTGTTACAGTCTCTGCTTTTTTAATGACTTGGTCACCTCTTGGCTCTATAAATATCCTGGAGTGTCTGTAAAGGTTTTTTGGGTGTGTTGTGTGTGTGTGTCCCCCATTTATGCTTTTTTTTAAAAAGGTTTCTCAAACTTTCTTTTGGATTGGGAGGTGCAAGGAGGCTGCTTTTGTGGCTTTTAATTTAACCTACCAGTTTGGGTTTTTTCTATCTTTATTTGGCCTTCATATTTCTGAAGGATTTTGTCTTCTGTTATCTTTGATGCTATTTTGTAATTGTTTTGACTTTTGTGATGTTTCTGAAATCTATTTTGATGGTTTGTGTGCATTTGTTGATTTCCCCTCCCCCCCAACATCATCTTCAAATCATCTCTGTGTTGCCCATCAGTGTTTTATGTCTCAGCTTGTTCTTTTTACTTAGCATGCTTCCTTATTTTTATGCAGTTCTCGTCCTGAAATAAAAGCCATTATGGTATTGTTGCTCCTGGAAGGATGTTAAATTGATGCATGCCAAATTCATGGTTAGAGCAGGTGATAACTAACATTTTCAGCTATACCTTAGCACTGCCTAAGACCAAATCATTAATTGCCTTTCTTTGTGGGTTCTTGATAATTGTTCCATGGAGCAGTCATTTATGGCAACTAGAAAATTGGGTTTTGGCGAGCAGTGGGTTGTGACAGCTACCCAGTCTGTGTGGAGGCAGTTGAAGATTGCAGTTCTTCTGACATTTCCTGGTTCTTGGCATCTCTGAGATTTCTCAGCAGGCGGTAATACAGTTCTAATGTGGGATTTCTGCTGGAAGCCTCTCTGAGTGTATTGCACTCCTGTCATGTTACCCAGTCTTTTAACTCATGGTGTATGTTGTCCCTCTGCTCAGCCTACTGTTTTTCCTGCACAATTAGTAACCCTGGTGGTAGTGTCCTACTTCTCATCTTTAATCAAGTTCTGACAAGATTGTCAGACCTGCTTTGAAACAATTTAGACTAATCTTTCACTTCTATATACATGATTCCAACAGTCCTCCTCACGTCCCCTGTAGTGTATTCCTGGCACCACCACCAGCTCATTTTAAACATTTACAAAGAGCCTGTTCAGTTAACTTGTGAATTTGTCCAGTTTTACCCAATAGAAAGAATACAGCATGCTCCTTGTTGGCACTGCCACCGTAGCTGTGTGATTATCAGAGCATATTTCCCCTCCTCTCCCCCCAGACAAGAAGGCGGCTATAGAAAATCAGCATCAGTGCTGGAATATACTCCCTAAAAAAAAAATCTAGGAATTCCCAGTCAAGGTTAGTGATGTTCAGATTGTAGAAGTCAGACAGAAAAGATAATCTCTTGGGTATTGGCTTAGCCTGCTCAAAGGCTTTACTTGACAATTATTGTGTGTGACAACTTCCAGCAGACAGGTTGTTTTGCCCCTTCTCTGGATCTGCCTGTTTTTTTCTCCTCAGGATCTAAATCCTCTGTAGTCTACTTGCTGATGGTCGACATTGTGGTTTCTGTAATCCTGGGCAGGCTTGGATTATTCAGGGGGAGTGGTTTAGGTCAGAAAAGAACACTCTGAGCTTGTATGTTTGTAGCATGCACCAGGAGCAGTTTTTCCTCAAATATTCTAGCCTAAGGCTGAAAGGATAGTTAAATGTATTTTAATAGGAGCACATGTTAACTTAAAGGAACCAAGCACTGGGGAAGCGTGCATACCTTGGTGGTTCTGCAGTTCATAATTACACTACGCCAAAAAAAAGTGGTTTATGTCCCTCTAAGAAGGTTAAGTCAAACTTCTGCCTGCCAGATCTTGTTATCCTCGTCTGTCTTGCATGGTGCTCTGGTGTCAGGTGTTTTCCCCCTGCGCTGGTACTTAGCCTGTCATCAAGTCACTTCTTCATCTTTCATGTGCTCATGTGCCCGATTCTGCAAAAGTTGAATTGTTCGTCCTTTGTCCAGCATCTGTTGTGTGGAATATCTGTTGGTTTGTCTCTCCATCTCCTCTTTGAATCTGTAGAAATACCCCTCGTCTTATGTATGCATAGCCCTACGTGAGCTCTCTGGAGCGAGGATTTAGATCAGAGCAATTGCATAAGCTAGCGAGACTAACTGAATAGCCTGCGTGACTCGGTGGTGGGGTGCATTGTTGAGCAGCCGGCTTGCCGAGTGCTGGCAGCCAGCTCTTCCTTGCACGAGGAAGCAGCGGGGAGTACATTCTGTCCCTTCCCAGAACCAGGCTCTGTCATTTGCAAGCAAGCTGAGGTGTCAGGTTTTTGAGGTGAGCAGCTTTCCCTAGCCCGGTAGCCATCTTGCTGGGGCACTGCTGTGGAGATGTGAGTCAGAAGCTGACACCTGCAAGGGTGTGCGTTCGAAGTCCGCAGACACTCTGCTGTCACAGGTGACTGACTGTGGGAAACCTTATAATCCTAGCAGTGCCAGAACTGTGTTTGGTCAGGTTTTTGTTGCCTGCTTTCTTGAGGTAAAGTGTGACTGTGTGACAGTGTGACAGTGAAAAAGACCCTTATAACTTCTGGCATACAGGTATTACTGTCAGATAGTGCTGGGCAGTTTTTTTGCTAGTCTGGTAGCACAGCCATTTTTATATGTGCTCACCAACACCAGAAAGGTTAGGTTTTGTGTGATGAATACAGTGATTCTGTTCTTCTGTTCCAAGAAAACTAGAAGAATAACTGCTACATGTGTAGTCTGTGAGTTGTGCTGGGGGAGATGGATGAAATGGGAGTATTAAATACTGGGGAGGGTCCTCTCTTTTTCTGTTACCAGGGAAAGTCCTCTGAGATTGTACTGCTTGGGTTAGAAGGACAGTAGGAGGAAGGAAAGCACTCCTGCTTGGGGGGCTTCCTGTACAGAAGGCTGAACAGCAGTACGATACCCAGTATGCATGGTATAATATCCAATGTTGTACAATACCCAATATTTGGTACTTCTTTTCATGGCAGTGTTGTGAAACATTCAAATTTTGTTGCATAATGCCAGTGCCAGGTGCTGTGAAATGTGCAAATTGTCCTAGTCCTATCTCTTAAAGGTTTGTGTCCCAGATCTAATAGCTGTCTGTTTAGGAATTTAGGAGCTGTACTAGGTAACTTCACTCATACACGTGTTCTTGAGGATGTCAAATACAGACGCAGGCATCCACCTGCAAGTCACAGCAATTTGCTCCAAGTAGTTGTCTGTTCACAGAAGGTTTAGCTGTGGATGTATGCAACGTGGTATAATAGCGTGGATCTCCACCTGAGCTGCAGCCTCAGCGGATCTGTGGAGGAGGACTGAAAAAAGAGGCAGTGTTAAAGCAGCGGCTTCCCCGCCCCCATCCCAGGCACCTCAGGGCAAACACCATGCAGCTCTGTCACGTTTTCACTTCCAAGTGCTGAACTCCTCTGGAAACAAGGAAGTCTCTCAAGAACGCTCAACTAGAAAGGCCTTGCTTCTCTTCCAGCAGCAGTGCTGATTTTCTGGGGGTCTCTCTGAACTGAAGGGCTTGTTTGGGGGCCCTGGTGCACACAGCAAGCCGTAGAGAAGATTGTGGTGTTTGTGATCTCTTGCCATCTCTGGAGTGGTACACAGAGACAGCCAGCTGAAAAGAGCATCCATGAAAGCAAAGGAGATGCTCGCTGGTGTGAAGGTACAGGGCAGAATGTGTTGCCTGTAAGGCTCCCTTCAATACACTTGCTTGGAGGGGTGGCAGAGAGTGCTGTGCCTACACTGTGATCATGTTCATAGCCTTGCACTAAAAATTTACAGTGTTTTGCACTCTGTGCACATCTGGATTGCCCTCCCTCCCCTGTCCTGTTCATTAGTGTCTTTTTCTCCCAATGTTTACAACTTAGAAGCAGAAAAATGGGAGGAAACTGCAGGAGGCCTCATTTTAGTCTTTGCAACTGTGCTGCCTGTTTTAAAGGCTCCCCTTCCCTCAGCTGGCAGGGTGTAGGACGCCTGGGCTCCTGGCTGGCGCCTGGCCTAGATGAGGCAGCCACAGCAGGAGGTGCGGCACAGGGCCGGCTTCCCAGGCTGAAGCTGGGTCACTGCGGAGCACACGTGAGGAAGGGCTCAGAGCTGGGGATGGCCCTGGGCCGGCATGTCACTCCTCCTCGCTACACGTGCGTGCGGCTTCAGAGGGAAGGCAAGGCACATGGTGTCCGCAGAAACTGTGGGCTTTAAGCCCAGCCCCTTGCATAAGCTGTTGACTGTAATGAGTGGGGAAGGCTGCTCTGCTGCAGCTCGTGTGTGAGCTGTGGGCTTGGCTGCCTCAACTTTATGTAATGCTGCCGATCCCAGTGCTGTCTGCTTTGCTGTTAACTCCTTCCTCTCCCTGCAGGAGAGCGGGTTAAAATGGCATCTTTCACCCTGGGGAAGCTTACCTTGCCCAGGGGGCTTCTCAAAGCTCTCTGTCCCAGGAAAAATAAGACTGCATGGCCCTAGCAGACTGTGGATGCTTAGTGAAGTAGAGGAATGGGGAACTGTGGCTGTCTTTTCTGTAGCATCATTTGACACAGGTGAATAGCATGAGACATGTCTGCTCGTGACCTTATGGCATGGAGGAGGATGATGATTTCTCTAAGCACAGGGAGAGAGGAATGACGCATACTGGGATTTGTCTCATCTGAGATGGGTGGAGTCTGGGACTTTGTGTGTCAGACAGGGAGGAAGTAAGGTCGGAATCAGGTAAAGATATCACAAGGTGTCAGGGGAACAGATGCAGGTCTGGGATTTGCCATCTTGGGGAAACAGAAAGGCAGTAATCAGACTGAGTTTTCTTACAGGGGTGTGAGGAGGAGCTCTGGGAGAGAGATGTGATGCCAAACCTGATTCAGCTGGAGCTGTCTTGGTTTTTTTTCCCATGGGGATGAATTAGTATGCAGGGTTTTATTTTCTGGTGTGTTTTGGGGGTTTATTTGTTTGTTTTTAGTAACAATTTGAGGGATGCGTCAAGTGGAAGGTAGGTCTATAAGGATTTCTGTATCCAACGTGAAAGGCTATCCTGAGCAGAGATAGCAGGATGCGGTTTGGCTGTCTTTTCCTTGTGTCTCCTGTGGTAGTGAGGCTGTGTTGTTTCACCTTGCTTATTTTGTCTCCAGAATAATTGAGATGAATGGCCACAAGCCACCCCTCACCTACAAGCGCTTCCAGGCCATCATTAGCCGTATGGAGCTCCCAAAGAAGCCAGTGAGCACCATAATAAGCCAGCAGATGGAAATGTGTAAAGTGGATATCCAGGAGAACCATGACGATGTGTATGGGGTCCCATCCCTGGAAGAGTTGGGTATGTGCCGAGACTGAAGGAAAGGGTTAACTGCCAGCTGAAATGGGATCTAGTTAAGCTGTTTCTGATGGCTGACATGTGCCCAGGACAACTCCAGTGTTCTCATCTGACCTGGGCTGCCTCTAGCCATAGAAGCAGCCTGATGTTTTCAGCAAGTGCTGGACATTGTGAAAATAAACTGCTGTCCCTTGCACTACTGTTGATGCACAGCATCCCCTTTAGCATTGCTCTGAAACAGCTACATCTGCCCTTATGTTCTCTGCTATACTGAGCACGTAACCACTGTAGCAGTATCTGATGTCCTCGCCAGCTGCTTTCCTCCTACTGCCATTTCAGACATGTTGTGTAACAGACCTGAAGAGGTAAACTAACAGTGTACCAGGCTCAGATCATGTCATTCAGTTATTGCCAAGCAGCACCGATTTGGGAGCTTAGTAAGACAAAAGATATTACAGAAACTTCTTTCACTCATCTTGCTATGCCTTATGGTCCTGTATTTTTCCTGGAGAAGGAGAGTGAATAGAGAGCTGCAGCATGAGGAATGCAAAGCCTACGTCAGGGAAGTGAATATAAATGCAAGAGAAGAAAGAAATAATACAGAATACTGTCTGCATGTGTGTAACTGGAGGCTCCGTACCAGCTTTACAGGAGTATCACCTTGTACCTTAAGGCACAATTTCAGCGGTCATGTAAAAACAAGGGGCTTCACAACAGGAGTATCCTAGGGGTTGCAGCCCTGGGTAGATCCACTTCCTTTATTGCCCAGCCTCATGAGACTGCCTGCAACCGTTATACTGCTCTGCTTGCTGCCAGGGGAGGTTCCTCTGTCAGCACAGAGCAGTGCGGGGCAACTGCATTATTGCTTCCCCTTTTGCATTGATTTTTCAGCACTAATCCAGTGCCTTCCCCAGCACCAGCTTTCAGCAGAATAGGAGCCTCACCAGGAGCAACCAGGCTCTCTGGTGAGCTCCTGGTGTCCACAGCAAGGTGTTTTGTAAGGCAGAGCTGTGGAGCAGATGCTCCTTTGCCAGCTACTCTGGCCTTTGGAGCAGAGCCCTGTGCGTAGTGCTGACATACAAGAGAGAATGCTGGCATATGAGCAATGAGGAAAGTCCTCAGAAGGCTGACTGAAGCACTGCAGGGAGAGGCCCTTGTAGTGCAGTGTCATGAGCAGGCTCTCCCCATGTTCCACATGATATGCCTGCTGTAGAAGGACTAGAGCAGCAAGTAAGCCATGTTAGGCAACTGCAGTATGTAGTGTCTTGCTGTTATTAATGCTTAATCCCATCTGTACCCTTTCTGTAGGCGTGCCTTCAAATCTTACAAAGTTCTTTCCCTTAGGCTTTCCTACGGATGGGCTTGCTCCTGCGGTTTGGCAAGGAGGGGAGACAGAAGCCTTGGCACGGTTGGATAAACACTTGGAAAGAAAGGTAACGTCTGCTATTTAAGTGGCGATTTCCTGCAGGCTGTGGCTCCAAATGAAAAATGTTGAGCGTTGGCTGTTGCTTTATTTCCCTGCTCTTCCTAGCAATGGTCGCAGCACTCTCCTCTGGAAGGAGTATTTGGTATTGTTGGAGTGCTCTTGTGATCTTGGGTTGTGTGTGGAGCAGGAAGCTCCTGAGCTTCCTCAGACCCAAAGAAGTAGAGCTGTATATTAATTATGCTGCTGTTTGAAGCACAAAAGATTCTTTTCCTTGGTTTTACCCCTCCATTTCCAAACTCGGAAACTCTCCTGTAAGTTGCTCAGTCCTTGCTATGTATTGCACACCATCTCCTGAGAGTGGGAGTTATATTAGTGGGAGTAGATGGTTGTAAAAGAGTGCCTTCCCCTTGTACATCGGCCTGTTAATACATTGTCTCAGTGGCTGGAATTCCTTTATCCCATTGCTGAAATACCCACATTTCTTCTATGGGGAATGTGTTCTTCATTATAGTGCACGAGGCAAACAATTTCAAAGTAATAAAAGGTGACCCAGCTGCAGAGGCATGACAATTTTAAACATTTTGTATCTTTCTAATGCTGGGTGGCTTGGGGGCAGTTGTAGAGATTAAAGCATAAATTCTTGTGCTGAAGGGGGAATAAACTGTCAATGTAGAACTCCACAAAAAGGTCTGAATTTCCCCAAAGTTCCTTGTTCAGTGTGTGAAATGCGATAGATGTGCCTCAACATAAACAATGGCAGTAGCATATGTCCCTAGGAGCTCTGAAGGTTATTAGCTCCTGTGTGCAAAGAGAATTTAGTCCTTTTCTTGGCCAAAATCACTAAGTGATTTAAATCCTGGAGCAAAGGTCTTGCATTTCTTGAATGGCCCGTGGGGGTTAGGATTGCCCACTTGAGATCTCCCCCAGCAGTGGCTGGAGGGGAACAGAAGAGGCTTTGCTGTCAGAGCTGAGTGGCCTTGCCACCTGCACAGAGATCTGCCCTTAGCAGTGTCCCACAAATTTGGGAGTTTTTTGGCTCATTTCTCTTGAATATGTCTAGGCGTGGGTTGCAAATTACGAAAGACCAAGGATGAATGCCAATTCATTGCTGGCCAGCCCTACAGGACTCAGTCCCTACCTGCGTTTTGGCTGCTTGTCCTGCCGTTTGTTTTACTATCGTCTCTGGGAGCTGTATAAGAAGGTAAGACAAAAGTTTCATCTGTAAAGTAGGCTGGTTTTGAGCATGCTGATTCCCAGACAGTGTGCCAGAACAGCTGCAAAAGTTACTGTTGCCTCCCTTGTGTTTGACTGTTGGGCTAAGCTTGTTTCTACTACAGAAGAGGCTCTTGGGTGAGGAAAATTATTCTCCTGTATATAGTCGAGCAGACCTTAAATCTGCTGGTACCTTGTTCTTCAGCCTGGACACCTGTGTCATGAGCCATGTAGAGCTTTTTACTGTTAGTTTTTCATCATTCAAGTCACTTGTCAGTGTACTGAGTGAGCTAAGAGCAGTGCTCTGACTTTACCACCTGGGGTTTTGGGTAAAGGATGATCTGGAATTGAGCTCCTTTATGGCAGTTGTCAGTAACTGACTTGGGAACTGTGTATAAATGCATGGGTGGCCTACACCTCAGCTTAATGAAGCCAGTCCTCCCCTGCTTGTGAATACCCTTGTTCCCTTCTCCACAGGTGAAGCGGAACAGCACGCCCCCCCTCTCTCTGTACGGACAGCTCCTGTGGCGGGAATTTTTCTACACAGCAGCCACAAACAACCCAAAGTTTGATCGCATGGAAGGGAACCCCATCTGCATCCAAATCCCCTGGGACAGGAACCCTGAAGCCTTGGCAAAGTGGGCAGAGGGCAAGACAGGCTTCCCTTGGATCGATGCAATCATGACCCAACTGAGACAGGAAGGGTGGATCCACCATCTGGCCAGGCATGCGGTGGCCTGCTTCCTGACCAGGGGTGACCTCTGGATCAGCTGGGAGTCAGGAGTCAGGGTGAGTCTGGCATTTCCAGAGGTTTGCGGGAGGCCATAAGGAAAACAAAGTCTCCCTGACACTTGCTGCAAGGATGGCCACACAGGTATGGCTTTTGCTTCGCATGTAAAAGCTGTGTGGAAGAGAGGATTTGCTAGCAGGCTCTTGGCCTGCCAACAGCCTGGCTTCTTTCAGCCTTTTACCATGAGGCTCCAACAGTATCAAGAGTCTCCAGTAACCATAAGTAAACATTAGTGGCACCCACTGGTAAATATGGACTGGAGTTTGGGGGGCTTTTAAAAATTTTTTTGTAAAAGTTCTCTCAGTCACTCTGTTTTCTTTGCAAGTTCAATGTCACTTTGTAACTGGACTTTTCTCCTTATTGTATAATCCGTCACCGTGCTGGTCAGGGAATGCTCCATGGCTGTGAAATCTGAGTCTAGAGTCCCTCAAGGAAAGAGGTAAAAGGCCCTGCTTTTGGGCCATTTGAAGGGACAGACTGTTTGAACCTCTCCAGTGTACGTATTGCCCTACGCAAAAAGTGGAGGCAGGGGCGTCTTGTCACAAAGCTCATGAAGCAGAGCATAGCTGAAAGTGCATCGTAGGGTCATATGCTAAAAGTGCTGTGTCTGTGCATGGATGTGAGTGAGTTACTGCTGAAACCTGCCATCCTCTCAGTGGCATTGTGCTCTGGGAACTTCAGAGGGGGTTCTTCCTTCTTGCTTTGGTGCTTGTTCTTCTGTGCAGCCTCTGCCTGCTTCCCACGGTTGGTGCTTTGCACTTGTTACACCTCCCAGGTTAGAATCAATACCCAAAGCTTGCTGCAACACTAGGTAGTGATTTAGTGTGTTAGCTGCATGAGAGATAAGCCAGCATTTTATCAGCGTGAGCAGACAGTGCCTCCCTATGTGAAAGCTTCAGGAAGTGAGATGTATTGACCAGCCAACTGGCTTCAGCCAGCAGATCTTTGCTGCTGCTTTCATTCCTAGGAGCTGTTCTCACAGCTCAGTGCCTGCCATTTGAAATAGCATCTTGGATCCTCCTTCCCCAAAGTCCTGCCTGGGGAAGCTCTCACTGCCTTTTGCTCCAATTGCTGCAGGTATTTGACGAACTGTTGCTGGATGCAGATTTCAGCGTAAATGCAGGCAGCTGGATGTGGCTTTCGTGCAGTGCATTCTTCCAGCAGTTCTTCCACTGTTACTGCCCCGTGGGCTTCGGACGTCGCACAGACCCCAGTGGTGACTACGTTAAGTAAGTGATGTGACTGGAGCCTCTTTCTTGCGTGATCTTAGACTTGAGCCTAAATTGTTCAGTAGCTGATAGGTGCATGACGCCTTCTGTGTGTTGTGCATGCTGCATTGCTGCACTTTAAGTGGTGCTTGTGCATCTTTTTACTTGTGTTGCAGGAGGTATCTGCCCAAACTAAAGGGCTTCCCCTCACGATATATCTATGAACCATGGAATGCCCCGGAGTCTGTGCAGAAGGCAGCCAAGTGCATCATTGGGGTGGACTACCCCAAACCCATGGTGAACCACGCGGAGACCAGCCGACTGAACATCGAACGCATGAAGCAGATCTATCAGCAGCTGTCGCGCTATAGGGGGCTCTGTAAGTACCAACAATTGCAAAAGACTTTGTTTTTAATGGGTGATAAAATGCTGGGAGGAGAGGTCATGTTTTAAAATAGATAGCACTTGTTTCTCCAGCCAGTCCTTGCAAGAGGAAGCAGTTCCTGCCAGATCTGCTCAGTCTGTTTCCAGGGAGAGCTCCGTTGAGCTCTTGGACAGAGAAGAGTGGGGTTTGATTAGTTTTGAGAGCTGGTTATGGGCACAGCACCATCCATATGCCACCAATGGCCCATTCTTCACTTTGGAAACTAGGCGGAGCATCCTAAATAAATATGCTGCACAGCTCTGAACTCATCCTGCTTTGGGATATGGATGTGCTGGCTGGTGATCACCAAGGTGTTTCCATGTGAAAGGCTCTCCCACCCCAGGTGGTTTTTGCTTCTTAACTGATCTTCTTGCCTTTCTGTAGGTTTACTGGCATCAGTCCCTTCATGTGTGGAAGATCTCAGTGGTCCAGTCACAGACTCAGCTTCAGGGCAGGGTTGCAGTACCAGTACAGGTGAGTTCAAGCTATTGGTATGCTTCTGAGAGAGTTTCATGTTGACTTAAAGGCTACAGGCAGGAGAGAGTGATCCTTTTATAAAAAGAGGAGGGAGTGTAGCTAGGAAAACATAGATCACATTCACCTTCCTTTAGGCTTTCTTCAGAAGTCCCCAGTGAGCCTTCATTCCTAAAAGATCTGAAGAATAGGCGTTCATTAAAGTAAATCTTTTACTGCCTGTATGGGATCATATGCAGCCACTTAAGGGAGAAGCGCAGATCACTGTAGGGCTAATCAGGTGTAATTAAGCTGTCCTCCATCAAAGGAGAATATTTTCCTGTTTGTTCTGGGGGACTTGATCATTCTGCTTTTAACAAAGGTTTTTTCAAAAGTTTTCAAGGAAGCTGTGGCAACACCTCTGCTTGTGCACTTCATATTCTTCTTTCTCCCAGCTCTGTAGCAGGTTAAGCTAAGGTGTACTTGTGAGGAGATCTAAAGGCAAGGGAGCCGTTGCAATGACTCTTCTTCCTCTACAGCAATGAGGCTGTCACAAGCAGACCAGGCTTCTCCAAAGCGCAAACACGAGGGGGCAGAAGAGCTGTGTGCTGAAGAACTGTACAAACGAGCCAAAGTGACAGGTCTCCCCGCTCCAGAGATCCCTGGCAAGGGTTTATGATTGTGAGTAGTCCCTAGTGTGATCTGGCCCAAACTACCTTGTTCTGGCAGCTAGCAAGGCTCAATCTTACTTGCTCCCTGCATTTTAATGAACTAAATGGACTTGCTTGTGGGGGGAGGTGGCTCCTAACTGTAATTCCATAGCGCTGTAATTTGGCAGTGGTCTGCCCTCGTTGTTTTCCTCTTGCTTGACAAGCTGCTAACTCAGTTGTCCAGCAGAGAGCAGCACCCTGTTGCTAGAACAATCCCAGAGCACAGCTGTTCGTGGGTTTGCTCTAGTGAGGCTGCTTCTTGCACAGAGTGGGTTTGCAGCCAGATTTGCAGATGTGGTGAGGCTGGAGGAGGGGAGCAAGCAGGTCCAGTCATCTGCCTGAAATGCTCCAGATCCCAGGAGGGAAGGAGCTGGTCACATATTCTGCCAACTTTTCAGTATGAGGGGCAGGTCAAGGCAAATTCTCTCTTCTGCTTTTTCCTACAGCCAGTGACAAGCACCTTGCAAGTGAAGAGTGCGAGTGCTGAAGAGGTGACCAGAGGAGCAGGGACTGCTGACACAGAGGGACTGTTGTGATCCGCAACAGAAAATCTGGTCTCATATAAATGTGTAATTCCGATAGCTGCCACAAAAGGGCACTGCATTACTTGTGCTTGGGAATATTTGGCTTTCCGGTTTCCAAAGAGCCAAATATCTCTCTTCTCAGCCATGCCCAAAATCTGCCCACACTTAAGGGGGCAGGAGCCTTCTATCAACTTGTTCATTTGCAGGTGTATCTTTCTTTTTTGACAATGGCTCAGTGCATGTGACTTTGTGCATTGATAAGCAGCATCTGCACATCTGAAAAATATAGTGAACATTCCTTCTCATCGCTAGTATTAGGTGGTGAGGTGCGCTGATTAATTCAAATTATAGTAGGAGTTGAGAAGGAAGCTGCTACAATGTCAAAAATAGAGTACCTACCCTACAAGAGAACAGGAAAATCTCAATATTTCTTTCGTTAGGCTAGACTGATGGGGATGTAAATGCTTTCTGAGTAAATCAAGGTGGTACTCATGTGGAATGGAAATTAAATGAAATGAAGGACAACTGTAGCACAAGAACAAAGAGATACAAGCTGTCTGTACACGTGAAAGGCACTTAAAACTTTCCCTGCAGAAGAATCTCACTGCTGCAAGGTGAGCCATAGTGGTGTTGCCTGGAATGGGCAGCTTCAGAGCAGTTTGACATCTAGGTGGGGGGAATTCTTCAGAGAAGGAGGAATTCTTCAGAGAAGGATATCATGCCTTGATATGAGTAAAGCAGTCTCCCAGAAGCTTGCTGGCCCAAATAGTAAGAGAGTTACACCTTGGCCCTGCACTCCACAGCATTTCCTTCCCTGAGTGAGAGCTCTTTTAAATGGAGTGACCAGTGTCTAGTGTGTAGCCTGTGGAGTGCCTCATACTGATAGGGGATGTATTACACACCAGCTCCTTGAAGTGAGTTCCTCAGGCTCAGTCCGTTGTCTGTTCTGTGTGGATGTTTGATCTTTCCTGTACTGGCATCTGTGTGTTGAGTTGCTACCCTGTATAATCCTGTACACTGCACACTGCTCCTTCTTGCCATTTGTATTCACGCTGGTGCTTTGTAGTCTAGCAGGACAATTGTGTAGCTTTCCTGGCTCTTAACCATACACTCCTTGGCCTGCTCCTGTTACATGTCATTTCAACACGGTGCTGGCAGAGTGCCTCTGCTTGCCTTCCCACCTAAGAGGGCAAGGGAGGTTAGTGCTGCAGGAGACCCTCTCTTTTGGCAGTTTTCAAGAGGGATTAGATCAAGTAGCTAATCCTGTGCAATGGGCTGCTGTTGGCACTGTTTTCATTTGCTGTCCAAAACCTTTCATCCCTGCCTGGCACAGATAGTGTGGGGCTATATGTGAGCTTATACAACTAACAGCTTGGGGAGCACCCGAGTTGTCTCCCACTCTGACTAGTATAATCAGGTTCTGTTTTGGAGCCCATGTTTGAATCCGGAGCAATGGGGCTGTGAAGAGAAACTGACTCAAACGTATCTGGGAAACCTGGAGTGATTGAATCGGGTCTATGAGCTACTTTATTCAATAGATGAATAACCTTTCTTTCCCACTCATCTCCCTGGGGCATTGGCCATAGATTCCTTATCCCATGAGAATCCATTGGGCAGACTGACAAGTAAACAAGACTCACTTTTCCTGCTGTTACTTTCTTCTAAACTACTATTCATAGAGCCTGCCTGGTGGATAACCTAGTAGGGAACAGGTTTTGTCTCCTTCACTCTGACCCCAGACCTTACTCCCACTATCTGAAGGATAGAAAGGTATAAAGAAAGAGACTCTCCCCCTCTGCCTTCTGCTGCAGAGGGAAGGGGAAAGACGTGCACTTTGTACACTTAGATTACAGAAATAGTGACTCCTGCCATTTGGAGAGTTTCATGATTAGGCAATGGTCTGTACATATGACTTTTTTCTTTTTTTTTTTTTTTATAAATGTCTTTAACCCTGTCTTTGCTGTCATCCAAATTATTTCATTCGGTAGATGGCATTTTTTGGGCTGGATCTGTGGGGGTAAGGAGCCAAAGGGAGGGGAGGCAAAAATCTACGTCATCTCTTGGAAGGCCTTGTGGATGAGGAGGAAATTGCATTTGCAAGGTTTCTGTCAATGCCTGTGATGTGGATGGTGACACCTGGAGGAGCTGCAGTTTGGGTAGTAGAACTGAGAAGGACACAGAGAAACATGAGGCCAACCAAAGATACAGGAAAAACTTCATGCAAGAAACCTGTGAAGTAGGCTGGGATTCATCCACTGATACCTTTTCCAGCTGAAATTATAAAGGTGTGTGAAATTGTGTTACAAAGAAGTAGAGTAGGGGATGATTGTTTGCTCTTTTCTGTAATGTTTAGGATTGGGCACATTCAACTAAACTACAAGATGGCAGATAGAACAAGCACCTTCCTTACCTAGAAGTTTTTATGGTAACCTCTTCCTTAGTTGTGGGCGCTAATGCTTTGACTGAGTTCAGAAAGGCTTGACCAGTTCATGGGGAAAGAAAACGCCATCAGTAATCATTAGTGAAGGTAGCATCTGTGTTTCAAGAGGAGCGGAGGATTGCTGGAGGCTGAGATAAAGGAACCATCATATTTCAGTTTGGAGATTTCCATTTTCTGGGATAAGGACTGGGCTAGGTGATGATGTCTGACCTGGTACAGGCACCCTCAAAGCAGGCGTAGTGTGATCTCTTTGCCTGGGAAGAGAGAGCAGTTGGGTTTTGATGCTGTCAGAGCAGTGGCTTTCAGGATGTTCCCCAGGGTGGTGTGGAGGCTCCTTTCAACTGAGAGGGTGGGTGCTGGGGCAGAGAAGTGCTACAGGAGTTATGAACAATGTGAACATTGTTCAACATGGGTCTCCTGTCAGTGGTTGAGCCTTTTCTCTTGCAGCCCTTCAGCTAAGTTACAAACTGATACTAGGTACGCCATGACTTGGCAGTCTAATAACTAGCTAGGATGCAGTTGGACTTGTACATTATGCCTTCCTCCTCAGTGCTCCTGTGTAGACCCAGTTACTGGAACCTTTGTTTTTTCTTTGGAGAATTACATGAGGTGCATTATTTTCCTAGTAACCAGCAAGACTTTAGGAATAGCAAGTAGCTGTGAAATCTCTCATCCAGGTTTGGCAAAGAGGCGGATCTAGAGCAGAAGTCGCTAGAGCCTTAAGCCTCACTTGGGCGTGTTCAGATAGCACCAGTCCAAACACCAGCTAAGACATTACTACAAACAACCTAATAAAGTCAACACACAATTTTAAAACATTTTGCTTATATAAACATTTAAAATTTGGAGCCAAAAAAACATCAGCAAGTTTGAGATGCAAAAGGCAGTTTTTGAAAATGCAAATTAGGGTGTTTCAAAGAGGTACTGGAGATAAAGGGCATGTCTGACCTACAAGGAGAGGCCCCTCACTACAAGAAGGACATTGAGGTGCTTGAGCGTGTCCAGAGAAAGGCAGCGAAGCTGGTGAGAGGTCTGGAGAACAAGTCAAGTCTTATGAGCAGAGGCTGAGGGAACTGGGGTTGTTTAGTCTAGAAAAGAGGAGGCTGAGGAGGGACCTTACTGCTCTCTACAACTACCTGAAAGGAGGTTGTAGTGAGGTGGGTGTTGGTCTCTTCTCCCAAGTAACCAGCGATAGGATGAGAGGAAATGGCCTCAAGTTGCACCAGGGGAGGTTTAAGATTGGATATTAGGAAAAATTTCTTTACTGACAGAGTGGTCAAGCATTGGAACAGGCTGCCCAGGGAGGTGGTGGACTCACCATCACTGGAGGCATTAAAAAATCATGTAGACGTGGCACTTCAGGACGTGGTTTAGTGGGCATGGCGGTGTTGGGTTGATGGTTGGACTTGATGATCTTAAAGGTCTTTTCCAACCTTAATGACTCTATGAGAGCAACATGTACAGTGTGTTGGTTAACTGAGTTGAGAGTGCAGTCAAGGTTCATGCTGTTGCCGAGTTCCCTCCAGCAAGGACCTTGTGGGCTTGAGGAGGTAACACTTTGATGCTTGAAGTGGCTTATACATGACAAAAGTCTTTTGAAAATAGTAGCCCGTGCCTTAGAAGATGAAGAGTCAGGATGATGGCAAACTCAGTCCAGCTATCTCTACCCAGAATGTAATAATGTAAATTAAACATAGAGAGGTCGGGTTTGAGGCTGCTTCTTTGCTCTAGCCAGAACATCTGTTCTCCCTGTCAAAGGAATGATGGTGAAGTGTCTGAGGATGGAAACTGGCTAACCTTGGATTTCTAGCAGAGTGATTGCCTGCTCCATGTACTTGTGGTTGGGGAAATTCACTTTCCCCATGTCTGTCTGTCTGCATGAAGAAGGAGCTGGAGTGGCTTCAGGCAGGGCTGGCTGAAAGGTTTGAAAGTAGAAAACAGCTGGATATGAAGGGATGGGAACCAGAGCCATGGCCATTGGAGCTGAGGGGAAACTGGAGCAGTGAGAAGGATGGCTGATGGAAGGAGAGCAGAGTGTATCTGGTGTCACAGCTGCATCTATGGCAAGAGGGAATACCTTGTGTTAGACCAGATGGTTCAGCTGGGGGAGAGAAGCAGGAAAACCTCTCGGCACATAACCTTTCCTCGGATTTAACTTAAGGCTGAGAACACTTGCTCTGAAGTGAACCTGATGGTCAATTGGACAATTTGAAAGACACGAAAAAGACAGCAGCTGCCTTATGACCAGAGTCACTGGCTAGGACAGAAGTGTAGCCGCTATTTTGCAGGACATGTACACACACATCTCTCTGGGACCACTACCCTAGAGGCCACGGGCTCTACCATGCATAGAAGGAGATAGATGTGACCAGCAGTAGCACAGCCAGAAAGGCTGAAGTGGGTGTCCTCCCAGGGCAGCCTGAGCCAGGGCAAGGATGAAGGTCCGGATGACCACGCTGGGGGTGAGCTCTTAGTGCTTGGCTTCCCAGCATGAGATGAGATGTGCCATGAGATGACCTGACTGCAGGAGGAGAAGGCAGCCTTACCTTCTGCCCCAGGTCAGAGGCCAAACCACAGCCATGCTGCAGAGGAATCCTGTTTCAGTAGCTGGGGTTTATGCTTTAAGATGGAGCTGTGTCAAAACTTCCCCTAGTCCCTGAAAGGATGCTGGTGAGTCTCTTGGGTCCTGCATGTAAGATCGATCTGTCTTGTGCGTCCAAACTGCGAAGGGGACACCTAGCCCCCTTGGGAGGCTG